AATATGCTAACACATGTGCACAAGGTGATACACTTGGTGGTTGGTACATTTGAGCAAGGGTTAGAAACTTCACCGGCGGAGTGTCCGCCCGTAGAGTGTGGACGGTCCGACGGTGCCACCGGCGCCCTGTACAGAAAAGACAGGGTTTCACATGGTGTAACGGACGTGTCCGGTGGATAAACCTAGGTGAACGTTGTCACTGTAAGTGACCGGACATTGGTCTCGGAAGGACCGGCGCGTCCGGTCAGTGACAGCAGTGAGCGCGCGGTTTCAGTCTCATGACCGGACGCTGGCGCAAAAAATGACCGGGCGCTCAGGGCCTGAGTCCGGTCAGTATGACGTATGATGACGTTGAGTGACCGGACGCTGGGTGTGTCCGGTCGGGCATGACCGGATGCGTCCGGTCGTGATTTTTCGCTTCTAGTACCTTACTGGAAACGATCGAACACTGGTGTTGCTGCGTCCGGTCACTTTGAGCAGCGCGTTCGGTCACTACTTAAATGTACTAATGACCGTTGAGATCGGACGATCAATGCAGCGTCCGGTCACATCGACCGGCGCGTCCGGTCGCCCCGTGTTCAGTGCAGTGAGGAGCCCAACGGCTCTATTCATGGGGGCTCTCTATTTAAGCCCCATGGTCGACTCAAGCTCACTCTCTTGGCCATTTGCATTGACATAGCAACCTTGTGAGCTTAGCCAAAGCCCTCCCACTCATCTCTCAACATCTTTGTGAGATTGGGAGTGAATCCAAGTGCATTGCTTGAGTGTTTGCATCTAGAGGCACTTGGTGTTCGTGTTTCGCTGTGGGATTCGCTTGTTACTCTTGGTGGTTGCCGCCACCTAGACGGCTTGGAGCAGCGAGGATCGTCGAGCGGAGGTTGGTGATTGTCTCCGGCTTCGATCGTGGTGATTGTGAGGGGTTCTTGACCTTTTCCCGGTGGAGAGCCAATAGGGTGCCGCACAACCAACACAAGATGAGGATCACACAAGCCACAAGCAATTTACTAGAGTACCTTTTGGCGCTCCGCCGGGGAAAGGTTAAGAACCCCTCACAATCACCACGATCGGAGTCGGAGACAATCACCTCCTCCACTCAACGATCCTTACTGCTCCAAGCCGTCTAGGTGGCGGCAACCACCAAGAGTAACAAGCAAAATCCGCAGCGAAACACAATCACCAAGTGCCTCTAGATGCAATCACTCAAGCAATGCACTTGGATTCACTCCCAATCTCACTATGATGATGAATCAATGATGTAGATAAGTGGGAGGGCTTTGGCTAAGCTCACAAGTATGCTATGTCAGTAGAAATGGCCAAAGATATGAGCCACAGCCGGCCATGGGGCTTAAATAGAAGTCCCCACGAAATAGAGCCGTTGTACCCCTTCACTGGGTAAAACGCGCTCTGACCGGACGCTCCGGTCATACTGACCGGACGCTGGCCCTCAGCGTCCGGTCGCCCGATGGACACCACGCGTCACCAGCTTCAAACGTTGTTCGTCAGATTTCAACGGCTGCGAAGCTGACCGGACGCTCCGGTAAAACTGATCGGACGCTGAAGCCCCAGCGTCCGGTCGTTTCCAGTAAGCTCCCCGAGGCATGTTTTTTTGACCGGACGCGTTCGGTCCACCTTGACCGGACACAGACCAGCGTCCGGTGCTCAACCTTAGCCACTGTGCCGTCTGACAACTCGACCGGACGTAGCCTTTCAGCGTCCGGTCGCTGAGTGACCCAGCGTCCGGTCAGTAGACCGACGCCAGCATCATTTCGATCAACTCCATTTCAACTCTTACTTCTTCACCCTTGCTCAAGTGTGCCAACCACCAAGAATTTTGCATCCGGCGCAATAGAAAATAGACATTTTATTTTCCCGAAAGCGCCGAATCCCGTCCATCTCAACCCTACAAACACCTTGTGCACATGTGGTTGCATATTTACACAAATATTATCAAGGGTGTTAGCACTCCACTAGATCCTAAATGCATATGCAATGAGTTAGAGCATCTAGTGGCACTTTGATAACCGCATTCCGATACGAGTTTCACCCCTCTTAATAATACGGCTATCAAACCTAAATGTGATCACACTCTCTAAGTGTCTTGATCACCAAAATAAAATAGCTCCTACAAGTTATACCTTTGCCTTGAGCTTTTTGTTTTTCTCTTTCTTCTCTTTAAGTTTAAGTCCTTGATCATCTCCATGCTATCACCATTGTCATGTTATGATCTTCATTTGCTTCTCTACTTGAAGTGTGCTACCTATCTCATGATCACTTGATGAACTAGGTTAGCACTTAGGGTTTCATCAATTTACCAAAACCAAACTAGAGCTTTCACCCGGGGATCAGGCGGAGCAGATAAGGTAAGGCGCTCAAGTCAAATCGCAATACCGAGAACCATACCCTGCCATACCCTGCGCACCTACAGGATGGTGCCACCAGGCCATGCCAGATAGGCACTATACAACCTTCTAGGCGTTTTGAACCCAAATAGTATTGTAGGCGCCGATATTTGCCATACCATGCGAACACGGTAGAGCCTGCCACATGCATCTGGACATAAACAATATTGTGGGCATCGACGTCCGTCTCGTACCCGACAGCGTGGGCAACAAGACTAGGTAGCACACGTATACATTCTCTCTCTTTCTTTTACTTGTAAGAGCCCATCCCCTTCGACTATATAAGGGGATGAGCTCTCTCCTAAAAAGGGATCTGACGATTCTGACTCTGGCTCTCCTCAAAAAAGAGAAGTTAGACGATTCGAGCACTCAAGGACCCGAGAACTTGAATAGCTCAATAGCTCTAGAACTCTAAACTAGACGTTAGAGCCCCCGTCACTCTCGGCCCCTCGGTTTAGAGTCCGACCGGGCTTTTAACACCCCCTTCTTATTCCTACTCGTTTGTAACTCCACAACAAACTTCGAGCACATGGGCTTAGGAATAAAGTCACCGACCGACTGAAACTGGACATAGGGCACGTTGCCTGAACCAGTATAAATCCTATGTTATTGAGTGCTAGGCCACATCCGATTACAACGCACGACAAAACTACAAATATTTACTTGTTGGTCATTTTTCGCACCGACACATGTGATTTTGCATAGTTATCGATATGTATCATTGGCTACTAATTTCTTCCGGATTATATTCTTAAAATCCACAGATGTAATATACTTTATAAGTACTTTGAATACAAATCAACACATAGAATCTATATGTTTGCAAACAATAATACAATAGTTATCGGGGTTTGTAGTTTTTAAGGTTTGACCAAATCTTGTCCTTAACATCATGTCCTCTTTTGACATAAGGTAGTATCTAGTAACACATTATATTATGTTTGGGTTCTTGTATAACCTAATTTTTGTAATTTCACTGTCATTGTTAGCCATTTCATCGTTGTAATCTACATATCTACTATGTATGTGATGGTAGCAACAAAACTAATTATAGGAGGGAAAGTCAAAATCGAAGTAATATATGCGAGAGTTTATGTATTTTCCCCTCCCACGTGTCCAAATTGCTAACAAACTATTTTCTTATCCGGCATGCCGAGTGCCCGGACGTCGGGACGGGACGTCATGTCCGGACGCGGCTCCGACACCTGCGCCGCTCCCGCGTCCGCATCCCGCCCCACGCCCCGCGTCCCGTGTCTTGCCCCAACACCCGCGCCCATGTCCGTCACAAGGACGAGCGCCCCCACGCCCCGCACGGGGAAACCCACGTGGGTTGACCCACGGCTGCACCCCAGCAGCAGCGGCAGACACCGACCGATCTATGCAATACCCCGATCTACTTTTGCAACATCCAGATGAAACATTTGCAACACACATCTAAAACTTAGAACATACACTTGAAACACCATTGTAACATGTGCAACATCCCGATCTACTTTTAAAACATCCAGGCACAACACTTGCAATATACAAAAGAAGACAGATGAAACACTTGAGACATGCGTTTGAGACACTTGCAACATACGTGTACAAAAAACAGATAAAATATTGGGGATAGACGCTTGGAACATACGTGTACAACCATTGCAACATGCAATATATCCCGATCTACTTTTGCAACATCCACATGAAAGAATTGAAGCATACATCTGAAACAACTGAAACACTTGAAACGTGGGCTTGCAACTTGTCTAAAAAAGCTTCCAAAAACACTTGAAACACAGCATCGCCACGTGGCCATGACCTACCTGGTGGGCAACTGCGGTGGCGCAGGCTCGCTGGATGGTGCGTGCCCGCACGCCCGCCGTCGATCGAGGAAGAGGAGACACTGCCGTGTCTAGGGAGGATGCCACCGGCCGGGGTAGGGCAGGGTCACGACTTGCTTGGATCTCACCGAGATAGGGGCGAGGGCCACTAGATCCGCGGGCGTTGGACGCTCCCGCTGGGTGAGGACGCCAAGGTGGGGGAGGAGTGCGCTGGGGTGGGGAAGCGTGCCACCGCTGGCCAGGGAGGCAGCCATGGCCGTGCGTCGGGTAGGCGCGGGGTGCGAGCGTGAAAGGGAGGAGAAAGCGATGGACTGGGTGCGGGAGTGAACGAGTGATGCGTCCATCCATTTCGAACGTCATTATCGTTTCTTATCTCAACTTTCATGATTATATTATCGGAAATACTTGGGGCAGGACGCAGAGGGCTTATAACAGTCAACACATCAAATGTCACATACACAAAGCATCGCTCACTTGTAACTGCCAAACCGGCGGTTTGAGGCTCAAGTGTCAACGACTTGCTGCTACGAGGGCCAATGGACGAAATACAGCGAGGCGAGCCTCAGATTTTTGAGATAGGGATGAAGCCAATCACAACCCAGCGTCCCGCCACGTGGCTGATCACCGCGCGAAGCATCCAAGGGAAGGGAGTGGACGCAGAGCAACGGGCACGCAGGAAAAAGGAGGCTCATTGTACACCGACCTCGTGTAGGCGTAAAGCAGAGGCCAGGCACGCGCCAGCGCGAGCGATAAGGCAGAAGGCACTGGACATCAGGACATGGCCGCCACGGCGTACTCCACCGCGCTTCTCGGCGGGGCGCGCCTCCCCACTGCCGGAGCCGCCGCGCCGCCCTCCGCCCTCCTCCTCCCGCGGCGTAACCTGCTGTCTCCGTTCCCTCTCCGGCTCCAAGATGCTGCGCCGAGGCTGTCGCTGCTCCGGATGAAGGCCTCCTCCGACGACTCCTCGGCCGTGAGCGGGGACGAGCTCATCGCCGACTTGAAAGCCAAGGTACGCACGCCGCCGTAGCTCGAAATTAAAGGGGGAGACGTATGTACGAGTCGCCGACTTTGGAATGGTGAACCACATGGATCAACTGTCGTGACCGTACGTGATGTACTCGTAACAGTGGGACGCCGTCGAGAACAAGAGCACTGTCCTCACCTACGCCGGCGGCGCCGTCGTCGCTCTCTGGCTGACGTCCGTCATCGTCGGCGCCATCAACTCCGTGCCTCTGGTACGTCCTCTCCTCCCCCCGTGGTTAGATTCAACTGCCAGCTGATGACTGGCCAGCAGCGTATAGGCTGACAAGTTCATGCTTGGTTTGGTTTCTGCAGCTCCCCAAGATCATGGAGCTAGTCGGCCTCGGCTACACCGGATGGTTCGTCTACCGCTACCTTCTCTTCAAGGTACGATGCGTTTCTACAGTAGCAGTGAACCATCTCTGGATTTGGAACATGCAAATTAGCCTGCCTTGGTAGCGGTAGCGGTAGCGGCGGCATCAGGTACTAAAAATGTTGTTGGTTTAACATGTCGGCATCTATCTATTCACTCGATTGCAGGAAAGCAGGAAAGAGCTCGCCGACGACATCGAGTCACTCAAGAAAAAGATTGCTGGGACAGAGTAAAACGTTGTTCTCTTGAATTTTTTTTGGACGATTCTTTCGAGAACACGCGTTGCCTCCTGTCTAGACTCCAGAGTGCTACTTGTCTTTGCACTTTGAATACCGTATGTGCTTGTGTCCCGGTAGAGAGCTTTGTGCGATGATGGAGAATAATAACAATGTATATGTACAAACTGGACACCCTCGGGGAATGTTTTCTTAAAATGAATTGGGGATCCAATTTTTTTTTCATCACTTCATTTTGCAATGCGTATGCCTCTCAGGACTTTGACACCCAATTCGTAATCATTAACTTGCCATCGTGACTGTGATTTTCTTAACATGCCGAGGATTGCCAGCATAGCTGGGCAAGGTAAGGTGGTGGTGTTTGCTTGCTTTCTTGCTAGCTCAGCTCTCCTCTTCCGGCTTCTCCGTGCTTTTCCCTCCCTGGCCAAATCACTGCTGCCACACTGGTTACAGGCTTCAAATTGACAACATCAATAGCAATTTGCTTTGATGATATACCTATTTCTTCGTTATCCTGCTCGACGATGATATTCTGAGTTCAAAGTGCAGTAGCGTATGTGCATTAACTCGTGCGGCTGTGTCACCTATGTTCATTAGCTCAAACAGTGCATTTTTAAGTCCTAAAAATGCATTTTTGGTATTAATAGACATACATAAGCAATATATAGCCTCATAAGTTAATGGGCCGCCAATGCATTTAACTCTAACATTATGCTGCATGGTTGTTATATCATCATGGAGTGTAGCAGGTTGCTTGGTTTAGGTGTACTCCATCGGGAATTTCTCCTTGCTCTCTGAGAACTTAGTAAAAAATATTAGAAAGTTGGAATTTTGGGATATAATGTTTTGGTGGATTATTGCAGTAGCAGCATCTCACGGGATCATCGCTTGGAATGCTTCAATGGATTGGAACTCCCTGTTTCCAGTCGGGGACTGGTCAGGTTTATTGTATCCCAGAGGTCAAGTAGCAATCACCGCATCATATAGGCAGTGTTGTTTGGATTCTTTCTCCCTCCTATATATTTTGTTATCAGGTTTATTTATTGAAGATTTTCACTAAGCAGTACCTTTTGTCTCATGTATGTGCACGCCTATATATATATATATATATATACATATATATATATATACACATATATATATATATATAGAGAGAGAGAACTACTACCCTGTAGCTGGCTACAAAATAACTTATTCTGTAGCCACTTTGAGTTACGATAATTACTATGTTAATTTATGAGATTATAATAACTCCATACTAAGTGGTTTACTGTAACGTTATTGTAAATATCTCCATGTGTTATAGTAACCCAATTATCGTAAATATGTATTGACATTATAATAGTAGTATATAAATTATAGAATATATACAAAATAATATATATATATATATATACATATATATATATATATATATATATATATGCTCAATGAATCGTCCCTGCTCCGATAAATGCCTGAAGTGCTCTAGCTATGGAATTGTACATAATATCGAACTTAATACTCCGCTAATTTCCTCGCCAATTTCTCCAACTCTCAGAGGTGAGGTTCCTGAAACTGATGATAACTATTAAGAATTTTTGCCTATAGAACTAAAATTATAGTGACTTTACTTATGTGTTGTATTGTACAGTACAATTTATATGAATGGTCAAAAATCTTTGTCCCTCTCACTTGTTGACATTAATTTCCATGTGTCGTACTGCCATTTATGATTGTTTTGTGTTATTGATTCATCCACCTCTTTCTAAAATTACCACACGAATAATACACAGGAATTCATCTCATATTATGCCACCATTATTAGGCAACCAATAGCCCTTTCTTTATGCTTCTGCTCCTCTTCCAATCTTCCTCAAGTCAATATAGCCTATACTATGGCACTGCTTCTCTTCGATTTGGTGATTCCTCTCTCACTCAATGTATATATCTATCAAATTAAAGGTTCAAATAAAAATATGCATATTTCTATCATAATTTCAATATTTCTCATACGACATTACAAAATTTTTACGTAACACGCGGGGTGTTATCTAATTTCTATATGGAGGAGCACCCATCTCATGAAGGTTATCTAAGCAAACTCTAATGGTTATATCTATATATCATTACAAAATTATTGCATTATACGAAGCATCACGTAAATGTGTATTGCTATGTGGAGTGATAAACCACGTGCAACAATCTACTGATATTGGTTCCGTTGAATCAACACCAATTATCTACGAAGATAATGATGCTTGTGTTATACATATATGTAAACAGTTATATCAAAGATAATATAAATAAATAAACATATTACAAATAAACATTATACAAATAAAGTCTTATGATAATCTTGCAAATTTATTCATAAAGTCCTTACTACATATTATGTTCTAAAAACTTGTTTATATTATTGATATGCGAACATCCATCATGGGGAGATGCTCTCTAATAATCAGCACTTGTAGTATATTGTACTCTTTTCCTTTTATGACTTTTTACAGACTTTTCTCATGGAAAGGTTTTTTATAAGACAATATTAACTCAGGAATATGTTATATTTCCTATTTTCTCATAAGAGGTTTTTGAGAGAATATTAAAGATATATATTATTGTTTAAACTTGCTTATGTGTTTTTTCCTAGTAAAGGTTTTTCTCTTGTGAGTTTATTGCAACAATAATAAACCATGAATATGTCATATCGTTTATCCTTCTTTTCTCACTGGGTTTTTATGAGTTTAATGATATATTAACAATATTATTACCAAATATTTTTTCTATAAGATTTTTGAAGGTATCAAAGCAATTAATTAATCTCAATTAGATTCGATCAAAGGCAAGTGTTGAAAACCAATAAAAAACCGATAATATCGTCCCACGGATCAAGATTAAACTCAGATTAGCAACTTAGCTTAATCCTAATCGTCCGCTAAACCTGAGGCTAACTAGCATCGCCGATCACCGGAAGTGTTGTGTCCGTTCACGAACACTCCCTTCGAGTGGACGTAGACCGACTCTAGGTGACAGTTTAACATGTATTTAAACTCAAAATCATATCAATGAAACTTGCATTGCAACTTTTCATTCTAGTTCTCGCTCTTTATACAGTACTATCTCTTTTTGAGAAGGCTTTATACAGTACTCAAACACGTCGCACATGGGCTACTGCCCACCGACTACCTTGAACACATGGGCCTTGTCATGCTGAAGTATGGGCCTACTGATAAGCTTCTCATCAAGTGACAGCCCATTAGCCCACCGATATTCATCTCGAAAATAAATTCGAGATAAAAACAGAAATGATAATTGTCATCTTGTCCGTCCATTATATCCTGTCAACGGTAGATTGAGATCCCGCAGCGGTTCGAGACTTCGAGGCCAGAGGCCTTGAGGAGGTTGGCGGTATTATAATTTTGTTTTATTTAAAAAACAGAACAAACTCATTTACCGCTAGAAGCCCATGCCGCCGCCGCGGTGCTGCCATCACCCTAAAACCTCCGGCCATCACCCTCGGAACGGCCACCACCATGACGGGGTCGGTGTCAACTACCGTTTTCCCTCTTTATCCCTCTCTTGGCAGTATCCTCCGATGCAGGTGTTCAGGATTCTGTTTGGTCAGGGGAGCGACCAGAGCGGTGTTCACTGTTCAGTTGGTTTTATCTACCGGCTATGTGGTAGTCGAGAGTGCGATCGCACGATGTTGTGTTTCTGCTTTCTTGCTATTTGGATTGCGGTAGGGTGTGAGGATTCGCTATGGTTATTATGTGGTGTACTGGTGTTCATGGGATGGAGTCGGCACTGGTCATATTAGAATACGGAGATGGAATAGGGGCACGGTGTGAATCCATAGTAGATTTGGCTTCCGTGTTGCCAGGAAGAGAATTATAGGTTTTAGTAACTATCTGATGTAGCATCCAATTTGATTTTGTTGCCATCTGATTGGAGATACTGTGTTGTTATTCTTTGCTTTTGGTTGGAGCTTGGAATAAATAAAGGTGATGCCGTGGTGAGCTTCTAGTATCTTCCTTTTATCCTAGGTAAATTGAGGGATTAAATTACCTCTGAAATGGTATGTGGTAGCCTATGTGATTAGAGATAATTGTATGACATTCCATTTAGCTTTAGCTTAGGAATTTTAGTTGGAGCTTGGTGTGAAGATGATGCTTGATTTATCATTCCGTGAGTCCAGTTATTTTTGGATGCAACTTTGAACTGCTAGTTTTTGTGTTGCTATATATGAGGATGGGTTCATATATTAAATTGGTGGGCCTTTGTGTTATCTGTACTGTTTTTAGGTTTCAATGTTTAAACTTGATCTTTCCATTGAATGCATTTTATATACAGTATCTCTAATGAATGTTAGTCTGTTGATGTTTGTGTGTATCTCACCTAAGCAAATATGTTTGTTGCAGGTCTTCATGGCTGATTGACTGCAAAAGAATGGCTTCAAAAATTAAAAATGCTTCTGGACCTACACACCATATATCAAATACATGGAAGAGCAACCCACTAAAGAATGCCCAAATGCAACCACATTATCGATAACAGTGATGTAAGAATGTTACATTTATGATATGTGTAAGTAGGCTTAGATTAGGTATCTTATAACCTCTGTCTCATTTAACATATCTAATTGATATTTCTTTCTTTATTGTTCAATTTATCTCCCTCTACTTTAACCGACCAATTTGGGAACTCGCTTCAAGACCAAGCATAATACCCCCTTAAATTTTCACCTTAATGGTGGTATTGGTAACAATATTGCCACCATCCCTTTCGTAAGTGATGTGGACTTTCAATTCTTACATGATGAATGATGATTTAGTACATATATGGTACACCACCACGCTATTTCCTTTTTACGAGTCCGGTGATTAATCAGCAGGATTACATTGTTCATTGTTGCAATTTTAATTTTTTTCATATTGATTGCATAACTGTATCTGTTTGTTGGTTTTGGTGTAGTTTGTTGATGAGTGGCCTGGTTTGCCTAAAGGCGTTAAATTTGATCCGTCAGATCAGGAATTGCTGTGGCATTTGCTAGCGAAAATTGGGAAAGTGGGTCTCAAACCCCATGCCTTTATTGATGAATTTATTCCCACTATTGATTCAAATGAGGGCTTATACTATACTCATCGGCAGAAACTCCCAGGTCAGCAAACATGCCTACTCATGAAGTTTATCTAGTAGATATCTTGTGTGGCAAAGGTGGTTACTTTTTCTCCCCAGCAATTTTTATCTGCTACATTCAATATATCTTCTCATTCTCTTAATATTTTTGCATGGCCACCTCTTCAAGTTCTCACAGACTGTGTATGTAGTAGCCCACACCACATTATAGTGTTCTTTTTCTTTTTGGAAATGGGCAGTTGCTCATGCTCTGCTTTATCATTTTTTTTAAAAAAAAAAGAGCTCACGGCGCAGTGTTTTTATTTGGGTGATCAATAGAATATCACCATTGTCAACTACTATTTTCATGCTCGCCTGCTATTGCTGTGGCTCATAACCATTAGCTCCTGCCCACCTGCCAAGGAGTAATTTGCCAACATATGCCTTTAAATCTTTTGGCTGGATAACCATGTGCTTCAGGAGTTAAGCAGGATGGAAGTGTATCACACTTCTTCCACAGAACATTTAAGGCCTACAACACTGGGACTAAGAAGCGTCGGAAAATAAATACCAATGTGGTTGGCGAGATTCGGTGGAATAAGACTGGCAAGACAAAAACAAGTAGTAATTGGTGGAATGCACCTTGGTTGCAAGAAAATAATGGTTATGTATGCGAGTGATGTGAAGGGCGGGAAGCAGGAAAAGACGAATTGGGTGATGCACCAATACCACGTTGGCACTGGGGAAGATGAAAAGGATGGTGAATTTGTTGTCTCCAAATTATTCTATCAACAACTACCTAAGCCTAGGGAGAATAATTCACAAGGCATAACTGCAGCAGATGCTTTGGAGCCTATATGCGCTGCAGTGGATTTGGCTGATTGTCCTCCATTGATGGACTGGTCTTCTTTGCCCTTGCAAGAGGACAGTCGTAATCAAGAAATTATTGACAAGTTTGAACATAATTGTGATCAGGTATCAAGCATTTGTTATTTCTCCATATGCAGTGTAAGTCTCTTCATAAGACATAAGGCTATTGCTGATATATTATTTGCAATATAAGTTGGCAGCCCATATGCATTTCCCATAAAGATCCCTTTTTTCTGAACTAATATGTAGGTAAATGGGCACACCGAACTGAAGGACAAAGAAGACATTCTCCATCATGAATCTAAAAATGTTGTTATTGATGATCAAGATAAGCACCCTTCGCAGGATGAAAAATGGTGGGAGGGGGAATCCCAGTTCTGGTTAAACTCTCAGCAACTGGCATAATGTATGAAAATTTGTGATGAGTTCCTTCTGAGTCAGAATTCATGTGGCAGTGAAGATGAGCACCAAAAGAGCAGGCCTCGCCTTGCTGAATATGGCCATTTGCCTGCAGATGACTTGAAAAAGGATCTTGAAGAATGTCAGAAGCTGGACGATGTACATAACACAAATCTAGAGCTTGAATGCACTCCCGAGTTTCGACTTAGCCAATTGGTAAATTTAGCTGTCGTCCATCATAGAGTTTTTTCTGTTTACCAATTGAGCTACCTTGTGCTAATATTCTGCTCGAAAATTTTTCATAAGATTGCTTTAATTCAACGTGGATTGAAGGGAAAATCTAGAAATGACTAAACTGAGGAAGCACCACTACTGTAAGGCGACAGAAACGGCATACATCACCTTTGTAGTGGTTTCAAAGCTGTAATTGCTGTGAACTGAGTCTGAAAGCTGTTCACGTGTTCTCCTGCTCATGGCGAAACAAGTGAGAGAAGGTTTTGGCATAGTGCTCGTGTGCATAATTTCTATTTATTCATCAGGAACTGAGGAGTTGTAACATATCGAAAGAAAATGAACTGTCTGATGTGTGTCTAGGATCCCCTTTTATTTGCATTGTACGAGAGAGTATGGCCGAACAAAGTCATGATCTGGATAGCTGACTTCCGTTTCTTATAAGTTATTACTAGCTGCATGATTTGATCACAGGGTTGTCCCCTGTGAGCATGCCCCCCCCTCTCGTTGAGAGCATCTTCAAGAGAGTGGATCAAAAATTACGTCCAACAACTTTTCTATCTCACTATTTTTTCCACCACGCTTTCTCAATTTTCCACGCCTGCTCGCCATCTGCGCCTGCCCCCACACCTTCCGCGCGCCTACCTGTCCCCCGGGTCAGAGCCGGCTGGAGTTACAAATACTAGAGGCTAATCAGCCTGTTCGGAGGCTGTTCGGAGGCCGTATCGTATCGTGAATTATTTACTGCTGGCTGGTTTGGTGTGAGAGAAAAATACTGTTCCTGGCTGGAAATTTACGATCGTTTACGATCAAACGAACAGGTCGAATGGCCATGGCGCCATGCTACCATGATCTGCAGTCCTCGCTCGAGAGCTCCCAACAGTCCGATCCGATTCAGCTAAAAATGACCGTGTAATTGAACCGCTAAAAACCAGGTGATTTTTATGAAACCGTTGAACCAGCGGTTCCATTTGAAGCGGAAGTTTTTTTTTATGTTTACCTCTATTACCCCTTAATTTGGTTCAGCGCAAGCTGATATACCCAAGTGTATAACCGGAAATATTCAGTTTTTAGCATATTTAGGTTCTCTGAGGGCAAGCTTAGGGTTCTATTTCGCCGGGTGGGTAGGCACCGGAGGGAATTTTTTCCATCTCGGCTTCCCCGTCTGCGGAGGCCGGCGTTCCTAGGCTCCTCCTCTCACCTCCCACGCAACCACACTTCTCCAGGTCCCCGGCGTCCAGGACCCGAGGCCTGACGCCCCGAGCCCGTTCGTCGACAGCCTCCTGCCGGGCGGCGCGGCCGCCCTGCCCGTGACAGGTGAGGCTGCCGCCTAGGCGCGAGGCGGCGCCGCTCCAGTCCAGGTCCGCACCCCCGCGGGTGCGGGGCTGCCAGGTGGGAGCTGTGGGAGCGCCATTCAGCGTGCAGCAGGTAGGCGCCGGCCGCCGGGTCACCTGGGGCGCGGCGCGGCTGGAGTCCACGGGCCACGCCTCCACCTCGTCGCCGTCGGTCGTCGCCCTCCGGTCTTCCTCGTGCGTTCCACTCATCCAGCAGGTGGAGTGCCAGTGCCAGATCCACTCTCTAGCAGGCAGGAACACAGAAGGCCGGCGCCCGGCGCTCCTCATCGGCTCCTCCCCTTCTTCACCAAGCAGTCAAAGGCTCAAGGCATCAACCAGTCAAGCATGGCTAACGGTTAGTACACAGTATTCGGATTTGAGAGTTCGAACTGAACTACTGAAGTGCTTCGTTTTGTTCTCTAATTAGAAGTTGCAACTCAAATGTTTGCTGGTTCTTTACTTACATATAGCATTGATGTCAAATTACAATGTCAGCACTTATTGAATTTGATGAAGCATAAATTGTTTGTTGCTTGCCGCTGCAAAAAGTCAATTTTGTGCGTGTACAGTGTCAGCACTTATTGAATTTGATGAAGCATAAATTGTTTGTTGCTTGCCGCTGCAAAAAGTCAATTTTGTGCGTGTACAGTTAGATGCTCTATGTTACCTCCCTTACTATTTATTTGTTTTTTCACACAATTGATTCTTTAGATACACCAACTCTAGTGACCAGGGAATGTGGCTAGCTGTGGAAAGGTTGATCCTGAGGTTGATTGGGCAATGGATCAAAATATTGAGGATTGGCAGGGTAAAAAAAGGAAGGCACAAGGGGAATATGAGGAAGAGCATCCGTATTGTCCAGAACCTGGAGAAGAAGAAGCAGCAGCTTGTGATGTCCCCTATACTGGTGCAGCAGCCCCATCTCAACGTGTCACTGCATCAAATAGAGGAAGAAAAAGAGGCACTACCACTCCTAGCATTGACATGTTCTTCAAGCCTAGAACTGGCCTAGGTGATCAGCCTACAGTAAGGAGTGTGCTTCAAGAAGAAGCGGTGAAGCAGAAGGCTGATTTGTGTATGGCAAAGTGGTTTATTGCTGCATTGGTTCCGTTTAATGCAAGTAATTCAATATTTTATCAGCCAATGATTGATGCTGTGTGTGCATTTGGTCTTGGATATAAGGGGCCTAATTTCAATCAGCTGCGTGGTCCATTACTTGCAAAATGTGTTGAGGAAACTAGAAGCTTTGTTGATGGATTCTGCAAAACTTGGAGGGAAACTGGTTGCACAGTCATGGCTGATGGATGGACATATAGAAAGAGAAGGACTCATCAACTTCTTGGTCTATTGCCCCGAAGGTATTGTTTTTCTCAAGTCAGTTGATGCCACTGATAGTTCCAAAACTGCTGATTTTTTATTCAGATTGTTTAGAGATGTTGTGAACTTTGTTGGTCCTGAACATGCTGTGCATTTTGTCACTGATAATTCCTCAAATATGGTTGCTGCTGGTAGAAAGTTAGAAGATGAGTTCCCATCCATCTATTGGTCCCCTTGTGCTGCCCATTGTTTGAATTTAATACTATCTGACTTTGGAAAGGAGAATATAGTGAAGACTACTATAGCTCATGCATCATCTATCACAAAATACATCTACAACCGTTGTTATCCGTTATATCTAATGAGGAAGTTCACTAAAGGTCATGAGATTCTTCGTCCAGCAAAAATTTGTTTTACTACTAATTTTATTGCATTGCAAAGCATATACAAACATAAGGCTGATCTTCAAGCAATGGTTGTCTCCAATGATTGGATAACCTCTGCATATTATAAGGAAGCACAAGGGAAAAAGTTTACCAGAGCTGTGCTAGATCAGAACTTTTGGAAAGATTGTGCTATTGTTTGTCAATTATCAGAACCAATAGTGCGAGTGTTGAGAATTGTGGACAGCCATGGGCGACCTGCCATGGGGTATCTATTTTCATCCTTCCACGCTTCAAGAGATGAAATTGTGAAGAGGTTTCAGAGAAAGGAGTTAGTCAAGCCATTTTTGGACTATATAGATGCATGGTGGGGCTCTCGGTGGGTTTCAACTCTAGCCTACCCCAACTTGCTTGGGACTGAAAGGCTATGTTGTTGTTGTTGTTGTTGTTGTTGTTGTTGTTGAGATGCACGGTGGGATAGACACTTTGATAAAAATCTGCATGCTGCTGGATTTTGGTTTAATCCAAACAACCAATATAATGATGAGCTGCGAGAGATATAGTTTCACTACTTCTGGGGTTCTTGATGTCATTGAGAAATATGCCGGCAAAGATTTTGCTCTTCGGAGTTCTTTGACGAGAGAGTTGAGAATTTTTAGAAGGGGAGAAGGTGACTTTGGGCGTCCAACTGCTAAAAATGATCGACAACACATGCCTGCTGGTAAGTGGTAACTCTACTGTTAATTGTTGTATTCTATTTGTCCATTATATCACAGCAGCATTTAATTCCCTTTTTTCATATAGATGAGTGGTGGGAAACTTATGGCTGCAGTGCACCAAACTTACAGAAGCTAGCTTTGCGTGTATTGAGCCAAACTTGTAGTGCTTCTGGATGTGAGATAAGCTGGAGCATGTTTGAGCATGTGCACTCCAAAAAGAGGAACAGACTTGAGCATCAAAGGTTAAATGATATTGTGTTTGTTCATTGCAACTTGAGATTGCGTCAAAGGTACCCTTTTTGTGCTTGTTTACATTGATTGCCTTGCTGTTCAGTTTGTATCTAGAAAGAATACTTGACTAAATATATTTCAACATTAGGTCTATTGCCTTGCTGATCTTGCTGATCAGTTTGTATCTAGAAATAATACATGACTGTACTAAATATATTTCAACATTAGGTCCAAAACCTCTACTAGAAACTATGACTCAATCAGTTTGGATGAAATTCGGAAGGGAAATGAAGCATGGGTTGTTGAAGACAATCCACCTTGTCTTAATGCGGAGGAGTTGAATGAATTTCGAAATGAATTGTCTGCATTGAGTATACAATGCAGTGATGGTAATGTCCTGCATTCTTGTGAAATTAATCAAGTTTGCCTTTGCTAGCAGCCAGCATCTAACATAATAATATACTGATATTTTTCAGATATGGTGCTGAATTTGGATGAGGTTGAGGCTGATGCCATGGATGAAAGTGAAGAGACGTTGTCCAGCCAAGATAATGAACTTCATGATCTTGGTATGGGCGATGAACATTGTGAAGAGCCCGAAGATGAAGATTGGGATCCATTTTACCTATAGGCAGTCACCTCTATTTCGTTCGCAGGTAGCCTGTAGGCTATAGTTGTTTGGTACTTTGGTTGTGCACTTGTGTTTGCGTATGTTCACTTGTTCAGTTCATCAGTTGTGCTGTTGTGGCTGTCCTATTGCCAGTTTGCTCGCGAACTTGTTAAATTGTGAGCTTGTAGCTCTTGGGGCTGTCTACTTGTAATCCTTTTTAGTTGATACTTGGTAAGTTGCGAGTCTGTGACTGAGCTTGTTGAATGAACGAATTATGAAGTATGTGCTTGTTTTCTTTCTCCATAAATCAACTAGTATATATATTGCAACGGTTCAAAGTATCTGTGGCCGGTTCAATTCAAACGGTCCAAAGTTAACTTTGGTTGAACCAATGATCTTACCGATTTGGTTATGGCCATTGCCGGTCCCTCTGCCTTGATTCGCACTGGCTGGTGATGGGTAGGGTCGGCTGTCGGTGACACAGTTGCCGCGGACTCGCGGTTGCGCAACGGAGAGAGATGTCGAAAAAGAAATACGGATTTTTTTTAATCAAGTCAAAATCATTAAGTTGGTTGGCGATGTTATGTTAAAACATAGAGTCTGCATCATGTTACTTTTTTGAGAGGCTATATTAATTTGGAGAGCCACTATTTAAAGTTTTCTATTCAGTTGCTATCTATCGACAGGTTAATTTATGAGCTTGTATTAACTGATTTTTGGACCGTTCGTTGCCGTCGACCGATGGCCCAGGCCGTCGGATGCGTCCGTCATTGTTAGGTGAATGCATCCATCATCCGTGCACGCGTAGTACGTGGCAAAAGTGGAGCAGCGGCCGCCATGCCTGCTGGTTGGGCGCGTGCACGCAGGAGATACGATCCAGGACACGTCGCATGCAGTTCGTCATGCACGCTTCTCGCTATAGAATTTTTTTTTTAATTTGTAAGTTTGTGAAAAAATTGATGATATTTGTGAACAATTTGATATATATTTGTCTGATATCTGGAATCCATAGAAAAAATTTGTAATTTTTTTGAAAATTTTGGTATATATTTGTGTTATTCCCAAATTATATCACTCTGTTCAATAAATTACACTAAATAAATCATTGTAAATATAGCTATAAGACGGTGTAAGCGCATGAGAAAAATTCAGTTGACAGAAGAGGCCAAAACAACTGAACGTCATCTAGACATATCCTTTCTATTTCTTAACATATCCTTTCTATTTCTTAGTCTCTTGAAGATATTATGATGGAGTGTGGCGGTGGTCTCGGAGTCACGGTGTCCGTAAAAGTTTTTCGTTTGCCTGCACTGCCGGCACTCTTTCCTGGCGCGCGTGCCGCCAAGGATAGCAGCGCACACGCGCCCATCCTGTCCGTGCTCTGCCACTGTTCATCTTTCTTCGGCGAGCCACTGCTTCGAGCGTGTGGCAGAACCACCTAATCTAATGTCTTCCAGAAGTATTTGTCTTTCATTAGACACTAAGTATTCAAGGGAGGACACCAAATTACACGATTCCGTCGAGCACACTCTAAGGGAGAACCAAAAATTCACATTTTTTCATCAGGATCACAAATGAGAGAATAAAGCTTCCATCATTATTAACCATTTCTTACATCACTTTGTATGTAACATCAAAGTATAATATTTATTGTTTATAATAGCGGAATATGATCATGTTATCAGAGTTATGAACAATTTAATTTAACAGCGGAATATAAACATGTGATCAGAGTTACAGAGGAAATAAATATCTATTCATGACATGATTAAACATTGATATATAGACTATGACAACAGATTATAAAACTTTCATTTATAAAAATATTTAGTGAGAGTTATAAATAAAGACTATGATTGCAGCGTAAAGTAATTCTCTCTGAGCCCACCAGAAGAGATCCACACACAAGAGTCAGCTCTAGCATCCACCTGTCACCTGCAACAGAGAGAAATAAAACCCTGAGTACTCAATTGTACTCAGCAAGACTTACCCGATAGGAGGAAATAAAAGACTCCAAGGATATGCAAGATTATCTGGCTTGTGGGTTTATTGCATCTGCAGGAGCATTACTAAAAGTGTGTCCTTATATTCAATTTTATTAGCAGTCAACATTGGTTCATTAACTAACCATTCTATATAAGCACATGTACTACTTTCAAGCAGGTGGTAAGCAATCAGAATTATTTTATCATCTTTCATCTTTCAGTTCTTACTACGTTGCTAGACTGTAGACAAGCCGTACCGGAACGTCGACAATTCGCGAATCAATGTGCTCAGCTGGGTACACGAAACACACGCCCCACTTGTACCCTAGGCACAAGCAGGATCAACCCACCAATCTCCTGTCACGGGGTACAGGTCCCCATCCAAACTTGGACTCCAAGCCCCTGCTCCTAAGTCCTGGACTCAGTGCGGTGCTTAGACCTCCACCATCCCCGTCTCCAATCAGTCGGTCCGAAAAAGAGCTGGAACCCACGACAAGAGAGCAACAAGTCTTCTCTATGCCCATACACAGGTATGTGCTCAGGATAATAAGTCTATGGCTTGCCTAGAACCCAATGCAACGGCCAGTCCTTAACCAATACAGGCGGAACAAATGCAATCCGAGCCTCGCTCGAATGACCAACCAAGTCCAGATCCAAAGTACCATTCCGCTCGGTTTCTAATTATCATTCATATATATATATATATATATTCTAGGTGATAATAATATAGTAACAACAATAATATATTTTCTATCTCTCGCGAGTGACAGGCAATCACTCGACTTCTACCGGAGTCCTATAGCATAGCAATCTACAGATCCTGTCATACTAGTAAGATTCATAAGGTAAAGATATATATATATATATATATATGCAGGTGAGTTTCATTCAACTCCTTAAACTTAATGCATAAACATAATTTAAAAGTGCAGAAAAGTAGGGGTTATGCACCGGGGCTTGTCTAAGTAAAATATAATCAAAAGTTAGTATTTTATCTTTGTGTCCTGATCTCTAGCACCATCTTTTCAGCTACTCCGTTTGATACCATCGATCCACCGTCGTTCCTATTATAATATGTAATGCGATGTAGTTAATTAACCAGGCAACAACAACTTTTAAAACTGAGTACATACTACGAACCAACAAGCTAGCTCTAATGACTAACGTACTAATCTACGTATCAACATCGTCGAAAAAGGTGTCATCTTCCAACAAGTGTTTTAGTTATACAATTCCGAGGTGTTTCTTTATTCTATTCTATCGATTTAATCTTTATTCGAAATAGAGCATCATTATATATCTAGCAATCTAATTATTCTGGAGCTACAAAAAATTATAGTGAGCAGCTAATAATATTAGAAATTTACTGTAAAATTTTCAGAGTCAACACCATCACCATTTTCTCACAAAAATTCCTACGAGCTTAGGTCTTATTAAAACTAAGCAATTTAAATTAATTATGGCAACCCTAAAAACAGCACCAACTATATGAACCAATTACGCTAATAGATAGATCATGATTTTAGGAACTCAACGAAATTTGTTCCACAATTTTTGGACTCCTAAATGATTTTATATTTAAATAACAAAATAACTTCAAAATTTATTTTAGGAAATCTTCACTAATTTATTGGAAAAAGAAAAGAGCACCATGCCCACTCCCGGCCCACAATGACCAGCGCAGCCTCAAAGATGGCACGACACAGTGAGCCAGCCTCGCTCGGCTGCAAGCGCTTGCCAATGACGACGACGATATAACCAAGCGTGGCGTGAGCTGCCCAAGTAAGGCGGGCGGCAACCCAAAGCCGAGCGGCGGCCCACGCAGAGCCGACCCGGAGGGGAGGCCCAATTGCGCGATGTACATTTTGCAAAAAGGACCCCTTTCTATTTTTTAAAATCGCGTCCAACTATTAACACTATGTATACGCCTCACAATCTATGCAATTTAGCCCCTACATTTTTCTATCTTCACCATTCCCTAGTCCCTGAGCATCACCAGAGCAGAGCACCATGGCGGGGATGATCCGACGGTGGCCAAGACCGACCGGGGAGGGCACGGCGGCGGTGGAGGGGTGGCCGCCAGGGGCGCAGGGCCACCGCAAGGTTCGCGCGACCACGCAGGATCGCGACGGCCCATGACGGCGTGCAGGGCATGTCTGCCCGCGTGCAGACATGGATGGTGGCAATGACGAGCGTGCTCCGGCGAGATGGCTATGGCAGAGGTTAAACGAGGAGTCAGGGAAGGCACAGTGACTCACCACGAACACTGCTGTGGAGTTGGTTAGGACAGGAATGGCTCAAGGCAGACTGGCCACATGCGAGGCGGATAGGTGAGTCCATGACAGCGGCGAGGAGATCGATTCGGTTGAGCGCACTGGTGCACGGCAGCCGACGGAATTGCGTCGAGTGGCGAGCTAGAGACCTCGGTCCGTGGTGGGTGAAATGAATTGGAGAGGGGCAATACATGCTCGACGAATTTAGAAGGGGAGGAGAGAGCGGTGCACTGCCGCTGTCGAGTCGCGAAGAGCTGAAAGGTCCTAATGGCTAGAGGGGGGTGAATAGCCTAATAAAAATTTCTACAACAACACTTAGCAAACTGGTTAGACAATTATGAGACGAAGCAAGTGTTACGCTAGCCTACAAAAAATGCAAGCCACCTACCACAATTCTTGTTGATATAGTTTCTATCCACATAATAGCTATGTCACTGCACTAAGTGTGCTCTTAAAGACTAACTAAAGAGCCACACTAACCAAACTAACAAGCTCTCATAACTAGCTACTCTAAAGAGCTTGACAACTAGTTTGCGGTAATGTAAAGAGAGTGAGCAAGATAGTTATACCGCCGTGTCGAGAAGTGAGCCAATCAATCACAAGAATCAATGTTAATGAAGACCAATCACCTCGGAGTCAAATGATGAACACAATGATTTTTTACCGAGGTTTACTTGCTTGTCGGCAAGCTACTCCTCGTTGTGGTGATTCACTCACTTGGAGGTTCACGTGCTAATTGGCATCACACGCCAAACCCTCAATA